CATCGTCTTCTACATTGTCGCTTTCGGTAAACTCTTGTGCCCAAACAAGGACAAGGTCTGGAATCAGAAAGAAGTGTCACAGCATCAAGGCGAGGACGACTACTTTGTCAGCCATCGTGGTGTCGTATACGACTTAACCTCCTTCTGGAAAAAGCAGCACAGTGACTCTAACACCGAGGCTACCCGGGATCGGATGATGGAAATGGCCGGTGCCAACATGGACCCATACGTCGTTCCTCCGCTATACATCGCTTGCCCCAATCTGATCAAAGACACGCCTCAAAACCGGGTGTTGCAGCTCACACTCAACCAATCCACCGCTGAGAATCTGAACGCAATCGCTGTCCACGGATCTGGCTCAAGGACAAACATGCCAGACAGCGCCGCTCTGAAGAGCGAGACCTGGTACCCTGACGTCTTTCTCCCAGCTATGAAGGAATTCAAAAAGGGACCCCTCGTCTGGGAAGAGAAGACGATCAAAGATGAAGGTGAAGATCTGAATCACATGTGGTTCAGGCTTGACAACAGGGTTTACGACTTGACTGACTACTTCGCCACGATCGACTACATGCGGGACCAGGACCAATACAACTTCCTCGATGCTAAGCTGATTGACATGGTAAAGAGCAACGCCGGTTCCAACCTCAAGGAGGACTTCAGCAACAACCTCAACAATAATGCGCAACAATTCAACAAGCAATGTCTTGACAACTTGTTCTACGTTGGCGAAGTCGACTTCCGTAAGACAGCCAAGTGCCAGGTCAACGACTATATCCTACTCGCTGTCACGATCATTCTCTGCTCGGTCATTGTCATCAAGTTCTTGGCTGCACTTCAACTAGGCTCTCGCAAACGCCCGGCAAACCAGGACAAGTTTGTCATCTGTCAGGTGCCAGCCTATACTGAGGGTGAGGATTCGATCCGAAAGAGTTTGGACTCTTTGACTGCACTCTCCTACGACAATAAGCGAAAACTCATCTGTGTCATTTGCGACGGAATGATTGTTGGTGGTGGTAACGATCGTCCTACGCCCAAGATTGTACTCGACATCCTCGGTGTTGATCCCAAGGTCGACCCTCCTGCCCTTCCGTTCTGGTCGGTCGGCGAGGGAAGCCAGCAACTCAACTACGGAAAGGTCTATTCTGGTCTGTACGAATTCGAAGGCAATGTTGTACCATACCTTGTCGTCGTCAAGATGGGTAAGGAGTCGGAACAGCACAAGTCCAAGCCAGGTAACCGAGGAAAGCGTGACTCCCAAATTCTGCTCATGAGCTTCCTCAACCGCGTCCACCACCGCTCAGCCATGAACCCCTTGGAGCTGGAAATGTTTCACCAGGTCAACAACATCATTGGTGTTGACCCGGAACTGTACGAGTATTTGCTCATGATCGACGCCGACACCATGGTCAAGCCCGATGCTCTCAACCGTCTCGTAGCAGCGTGTGCCCATGACTCGAAGATTGCCGGTATCTGCGGTGAGACGAGCTTGGAAAACGAAGACAGGTCCTGGTGGACTATGATCCAGGTCTACGAGTACTACATTTCGCATCATCTGTCGAAGGCCTTTGAAAGTTTGTTCGGCAGTGTTACCTGTTTGCCCGGATGGTAAGTACCCAACCCTACCTGCATTATATAGTGCTAATTCGTACTAGTTTCACCATGTACCGCCTACGCACAGCCGACAAGGGCAAGCCTCTCATCATCTCGGACAAGATTATCAAGGACTACGCCGACTGTGTTGTTGACACTCTGCACAAGAAGAATCTCCTCTCGCTCGGTGAGGATCGTTACCTGACGACTCTGATGACGAAGCATTTCCCCGCCATGTCGTACAAGTTCATTCCCGATGCGTACGCACTCACAGCCGCCCCCGACACGTGGAGCATTCTGCTCTCCCAGAGACGTCGATGGATCAACTCAACCATCCACAACTTGGCCGAACTCGTCTTCCTGAAGGATCTCTGTGGTTTTTGTTGTTTCTCGATGCGATTCGTCGTCTTCATCGATCTCTTCGGTACTCTCGTCCTGCCATCCATCTGCGCATACCTGGTATACCTCGTCTACACCGTCTCGACTGGCAAAGGTCAATTCCCCATGTTCTCCATCATCATGTTGGCGGCAGTGTACGGTCTTCAGGCGTTCATCTTCATCATCAAGCGGCAATGGCAGCATGTGGGATGGATGATCATCTACCTCCTGGCCTTCCCTATCTACTCACTCGCACTTCCGATGTATTCTTTCTGGTACATGGACGACTTCTCGTGGGGTAACACGCGTGTCGTCATCGGCGAGCAAGGCACGAAGCAGGTTCTCACCACGGATGATGAGGGCTTTGACCCCAAGTCAATTCCTATGATGCGCTGGGACGAGTACGCCGAGCGCAATGAGCTTCCCGGTCGTCGCGGTCTCCCAGGCATGACCACTGAGAAGGGTGGCTTCAATGCGTACGAAGACGAAGCATACGAGATGAACGACATGCAATCTGTCTACTCGTCTGTCAAGCCTGCCTCGACCGTCATGTCCAACATGCAGCACATTTCGCACATGCCGCCGCAATCGCCTGGGCCATACCAAGGCATGCAAACCCGTCAATCGACATACTCGAACATGTCGCGGTACCAAGACAACCCACACCAAAGTCGCGTCATGTCCATGAGCAACATGAGCGACATGTACAATGGCAACAACACTTCACCGTACGGTCAACGCCAGAGCATGGGTGGCTTCCAGAGCTCAGACAACCTGATGGCCTCGTCCACACCACCGATCCGTGGACGCAGCCCTCTCAGCTATGGCGCCAGCATGTCACGGCCTGGCAGCACAACCAACTTCCAGAGCATGATGAACGGCCCGACGGATGGCCAAATTATCGAGACGGTTCAAGCCTGCCTCAAGGACGCGGACCTGGACAAGGTCACACGCAAACAAATCATCGCACTTGCGGAGCAAAGACTACAGATGCAGCTCACTGGCGAGAGGAAGATCTTCCTCACGCAAGCCATCGACCACGAGCTTGCCAACATGATGTAAGAAGGAGAAGATTGAGAATTGATTGCATTTAGCGGTGTTGTTTGTACATGTCTGCACGGCAGTAACGCCATTTCGTCTTTCGTTTGGACAAAATATGTGTCTTTTGCATCTGGCGTACGATTAAATGGGAAAACTCGGGTGTCTGGGAATCTGGGTTGTACTTACATCGCTCTTTTGAAGTGAAGGTAATACGGAGTTGTTGCATATATTTAGTGGAATTGAAGATTACAACACGAAGCTTGTTCTTTTGCCTTTGCAGTGGTGTCAAACGAATATGGTTATCAACATGGTGCTCAACGAACAGTGCATTCATGTGAGGCATGGGAGTCGTGGGCGGTGGACGACTAGCGTCAGGTAGCTACGTACCCCAGCCCAGCAGGCGCGGCCAGAGCTCCGCCATCCCGACATTCCCCAACCAGCACCCCCGAGTCTCACACGACGTACACAACTGTCCCCTTCTTCGCCTCTCCTATCCCATAGACTCGACCCAATTTCGACCGCAAATATGGCGCCGAACCGCATCGAGCAAGACGAAATTGAAAAGTACTGGGAGATATTCAGTTCGCTCAGCGGCGGCGGCACCCACCTCGACGGCGCGCAAGCCGCACCTGTGCTCAAGAACTCACATTTGCGCGATGACCAGCTGGAGAGAGTGTGGGACTTGGCGGACGTGGACAATGACGGCAAGCTCGACTTTGAGGAGTTCTGTGTCGCCATGCGATTGATCTTTGACCTGATCAACGGGGTACGTCTGTTGCATGGGCTATGAAGGAGATACAGGATTGACCAGCATGCCGTAGATATCCATGGATGTACCAAAAGCGCTGCCCGACTGGCTCGTCCCCGAATCGAAAGCCCACCTCGTCCAAGCCGGACGCGCCCTCTCCGGCTCGCAACCCGCCTACGAAACCGTCGAGGACGATGACGACACGCCCGGTCTGCGCGACGGCTTCGACTGGTACATGTCGCCGTCAGACAAAGCGAAATACGAAGAAATCTACACAGCCAACCGCGACGGCCACGGCAACATAACCTTCGACAGCCTCTCGGGCCTCTTCGACAGCCTAGACAACGTGCCCGACTCAGACGTGCGCTTTGCCTGGAACCTCGTCAACCCCAAAGCGCGAGAAAGCGTCGGCAAAGACGCCGCCCTCGCCTTCCTCCACATCCTCAACCAACGCAGCGAAGGCTTCCGCGTCCCCCGCAGCGTACCCCCGAGCCTGCGCGCCAGTTTTGAGAAAGCACATATAGACTACGACATCGAATCAAACGCAAACTCGCGCTGGGCCGCGACCCGCGACGAAAACACCGCTACAGGCCGCAAAGCCAAATTCGGCGACGCATACCTCACGCGCCTGGGCGTCGGCGACCGCGCAGCCAACTACGGCGCGCGCGGCGGCAAAGGCACTGATTTCGGGGGCCGCACAACAGAAGACTGGGAGGAAGTGCGCTTGAAAAAGCAGCTGCGCGAGCTGGAACAGAAGATTGCGGATGTGGAGAAGGAGGCGGAGAATCGGCGGCATGGAAGGAGTAAGGATAGTAAGCCGGCGCTTGTCAAGCGTGAACTGGAGCTTCTGCTTGATTATAAGAGAAATGTGCTCAAGGAGTTGGATAATGATGGGGGCGGGGCGGTTAAGGGGTTGGGAGGCATTAGAGAGGAGATTGAGACGGTGAGGGAACAGGTTGAGGGGTTGCAGGGGCATTTGGAGAGTAGGAAGGGGGTGTTGGAGGATTTGAGGAGGCAGATTGATGATGAGAAGGCGGGGTAGGGTTTTGAAGAGAGGGGGAGGGTGTATATAGATATTTGGGTATTGTTAGAGCTGGGTAATCAGCAATGAAGTTTTCAAACGCAAGATATCGATGCTGTTTGAGTGCTCCAAAATGGTGACATGATACTGTGTGAGATCACGCACACCCAACCGAAAATATACTAATCCACCATCTCCCACACAACCTCTCCAACCTCCTTCCTACCCATACAACAACCCCTCCACCTCCTCCGCAACAGCCAAACTACTAGTCAACCCCGGACTCTCCATCGCCAACAAATTCACAAACCCCTCGTATCCCTCCTCCTTACATATCACAAAATCCTGGAAGTCCTTCCCGCTCGTCGCCGCCAATTTTCCCAATTTCGGTCGTATCCCCACGTAGTCTGGTTGAATAGCATTTCTATCTACGCCGGGTAGATACGTCTGGATATCATCGATGGCTTGTGCCATGTTTTTGGTGTTGGGGGTGTAGTCAGTGGGTGAGTCTGTCCACTCGACATCTGGTCCGAAACGAATCCGGCCGGCCATGTCGAGTGTGAGGTGGGTTCCTAGACCGCCGTGACCGGGGACTGGGGCGGGGTAGACGAGTGTTGAGGGTTTAGGCCGCGAGACAGCGTAGGAGAAGTAGGATCCTTTTGCGTAGAAAGCTTTTCTGTGCCGTGGCTTGGGCAAAATCATATTCTGGATATCCACAGCGAAGAGACCAGCCGAGTTCACCAACGTGTCGGCTGTGATACTGGTTTCCTCGCCATCCGCTCCCGTCGTTGTGATTTCCCACCCGCTGCGCCCGGAGTCGATGGGGGTGATGTGCGTGACTGTTGATTTGAAGGCGCAGATTCCTCCGTCGTTTTCAAAGGAGCCTTGCAGGTATTGCATCAAGCTGTGCGAATCCACGATGCCGGTGCTGGGACTTTCCAAAACGCCGGCTTCAGCTCGGACATCTGGTTCGCGGCGGTGGGCTTCGTCTTTGCTGAGGAAGCGGATGGGTACGTTTATGCTTTTGGCGAAGTCGTGGACCTTTTCGAGGGCGTCCATTTGTGCGGCGTCTTGGGCGACGATCCATTTTCCTGTGTTGCGGTGGGGGATGGAGTGTTGTTTGCAGAGCGAGTATAACATGTCTTTCCCGCGAAGGCATAGTTTGGTCTTGAGAGATGTGGGTCCGTAGTAGAGGCCTGCGTGTATGACTTCGCTGTTTCGCGAACTTGTTTCTGTGCCGACGTGGCTGTGCTTTTCTATTAGGACCACGGAGGCGGAGGAGCGTTGTTGGAGTTTGCGGGCTATGGCTAGGCCGATTACGCCGCCGCCTATGACGGCGTGGGTGAAGTCGGCATGTCGTGGTTTACTTGAGGAGAAATTTCTTGATTTTGAGATGGTTGATTTGAATTGGGGGGTTGTTCGAGAGAGGATGCGCAATGAGGCCATTATGGAAATGGGAGAATTAACTTCTGAAATCAGCGCAACGTGCTACAGAACAGACATGGACGAGTAAACAAGACGAAGCAGAACCTGATTGCAGCGTAAGATAGACTCGGGGTCAAGGACAGTCTTGCTTGACAAGTGATGCTTATCGGTGGCTGAGATGCATTTTGGATGACGTTACGTGAAATGCCGTTCCTGACGCTAAACAGAGTGGGGTCTCTTATTTGGTACTTCAATTGGCATTCCAAGGTGTACATGTCCATACAGTGTCCCAGACAAAAGAGTGAGTAATCTTGGTTTAAAAGACACATTGTTCCTCAGGTTTGTTGAATCTCTCTGCAACGGACATCTCGTGGGACCTCTTTCCTCCACCTAAGATAACGTCATCGGCACCCCAACCTCCAAACCCCCGACATTGCAACCAGGCCAATGTTCACAACCCTCACGAGACGAGCATTATCACGTCCACCAGCCACCATCATCCCCAAAAGACTACTCTACAGCACACCTTCCAACCTCGCCTCGCCGCTCGTCGACCGCGTAAACAAAGTCACAATGGCCTCATCAACCGGCACCCCCAAAGTAACTTCTCTAGTCGACCTCCCCTCCTCAGAAGCCAAATGGGTCAAATTACAAAAAGCCACCTACACCGACGCCAAAGGCAAAGAACGCATCTGGGAAATCGCGTCGAGGAAAACAACCGGCAGCGCCGGCGTCGACGCCGTCGCAATGGGCAACATAATCTACCACCCCACCAAACCCCCCTCCACAATCGTCGTCATCCAATTCAGGCCGCCCGTCAGCGGCTTCACTGTAGAATGGCCCGCCGGTCTCATCGACGCGTCTGAAACCCCCGAGGAAGCCGCCGTCCGCGAACTCTACGAGGAAACAGGCTACAAAGGCAAAGTCATCAGCACGTCTCCGGCTGTAGCGGCGGACCCGGGTATGACGAGTGCGAATCTGTGTTTGTGCATGGTTGAGATACATTTGAATGAGGGGGATCCGGAGCCGGAACAGCATCTTGATGAGGGGGAGGATATTCAGAGGGTGAATATTCCGATTAGTGAGTTGTATGGCAGGTTGGAGGAGTTTGCGAAGGAGGGGTATGTTATTGCGGCTAAGTTGTATCATTGGGCGGCGGGCGCGCAGTATGCGATTGATCATCCGGAGTTGTTTGCGAAGAGTCACTCGAAGAAGGAGTGATGTTGTGCGTGTGCTGGGGTATGTTAGGATGGGGGATCATCGCATGTGAAAGCTGGTTGTGAGAAGCCATGGGCAACGGTTAGCATTAAGATAGAGGCTGAGGTAGCGAGATTGGTGAATTACTGGTATGCTTTTAACTAGTAACGCATGGGTTATCCTGAACTTCTAGATGATATGAGCAATACATTTGGTTTATCACTAGACAGTCCTATGTGTAAGCCAATGTCAAGCCGAAACCTTCTATTGCAATTTCAGTAACATCAAATTGCAAGTAACATCAAATTGTGGCAGTAAAGACCATTTCATTCAACGTCCCAAACAGCGACGTTACTTCTAGACATTAAGCAAGAAAAAGGTGTGATGTTTGTATGATCCATCACATAGCTCCTACAACATATATACCCCAAGCGAACCAAGTCATGATCCCGTAGTTTTTATATCCAAAAGCCACACACACACCCCGCCGTCATGTAATGATGTAATAGTATATGTACAGTTAAGGAAATGAGTTTTTTGCGAGAGAGAAAGAATCACTCGCGGTGTTGTTGCGGTGCTGCTCGCTGAAAACGCCGGGGACATCCAATGCGCACACAAGTAGTTTGATGATAAAAGAAAAGGTTAATGCTGGTATGTCGTTGATGTGATGCAGCCTTCTAGGCGGAAGATGGAAGAAAGATCAAGATGCTAGATCATGCGGAAAGAGGCGTTTACTTGCGGGGCTGCTTGCTGAGGCGCTTCCGCTTCTTGGAGTCGCTTGAGTCGCTGCGTCCGTGGTTGGACGCGGGCATTGTGGGTTGGCCTAGTGGCGCAGGTGATACATCACGCATCAGGCTGCTTTGCTGTGGGGCCTGTAGCTCGTAATCCTCACCAGGTGCGGTGTGAACGTATTGCTGAGCAAGAGGGCTGCGTCCCTGGCGCTGGTCTGAGCTGTTGGTCCTGCTGTAGGAAGGCTTGGGCGACTCGAGACCATGGCCCTTCTGCTCGTTGGACAGCGGCGATGTGCGGGCTGGGGCATGGGCGAGGTCGCTGTTGGTACGCATCTGGGCAGGTCGTTGCGGGCCCTTGGACTGGTATACCGAGTCGTCGTCGATGGAGTCAACAGATTCGCTGTACATGCCCTTGCTGGCACCCTGGCCGACCTCGTAGGGTCCTCCTCGTGGCTCTTCGTAGAAGGCTCCTCCGGCAGGCTTTTGTGTTTGCTGAGTCTTGTGGTAGATACGCGCATCCTCGGGGTCCATGAAACTCTCGACACGGCGGGGCATGTAGATGGAGTTGGCGGCAGAGGTCTCTTGCGAAGCGAAGGAGTCCATGGAAGAACGGGGGTGGAGAGGCACGTGAGGGACGTTGGGGTTGCGGGGCATTGTGTTGGGAAGCGTGAGACCAGAGTCGTTGCCTTGTTGGTACCATCCGTTGGGCAGGCGTTCTGCGGCGGCAAAGCGTCCGTCGATGTTGTCGCCAGGCTGTAGGGGAATAGCAGCTGGGCGGTGCTTCTGCGCCTCGGCGGCAGCCTTGAAAGTCTCGGGTACAACGTTCAGATCGTCACCAGTAGCCTCGGCGGCCTCAATAGCCTCCTGGGGAGTGGTCTTGGTGTCGGCGCTACCAGCATCGGCACGAGGTCCACCCCATGTACGCTGACCGGCAGTGAAGATACCGTAAACCATGTAGACCCAGTTGAAGAAGGGGTTGACGATGAACATGAGGGGGTACAGCATGATCTTGTAGCGACCGAGCTTGGCGCCAAAGTACAACATGAGAAGCCAGTTAAGCCCCAGAGAGATGGCGATGAAACCAACGGGAAGGTTGGCAACCTTTTGCGAGGTAGTGATCAAAGAGATACACAGGATGAAGAAGAGCAGGGCGGTGGTTCGGATGGTGTTCTGCATGAAGCGGACGATGAGAAGGATCGGGTAGCGCTTCCAGAGACGGATATCAGTCAACATGCAAACTTCGTTGGTGATAAAACCCAAGAACCAGCGGCGACGTTGCTTGAGTAGAGACTGGTAGGTTTGCACAGCTTCGGTCTTGCAGAATGCTCCGGTGTTCATCTGGATCTGATAACGTTCCTTGGCGCCAATCATGAACAAGTGAGTGAGCCAACGGTCCTCACCAAGATGGCACTTGCCGTAGTCGAAGAGGTCGTCGCATTGCTCGGCCTTGTCAGCGAAGTAGTACTTGGCCATCCTGCGGAAAGCGGAGAATCGAAGCATAGTAAGGGCACCGGGCAAGCAAGTGACGGCACCGCAGCCGGACTCGACTGAACGCTCGAACAGTTGACCGTGAACGTATTCCATGTCCTGAAGAAGGGTGATGAGCGAGTTCTTCTCGGTTGTGGAGGTAATGACACCAGTCTGAGCCAACATGTTCTTCTTGCTGCCGGGCTTGAGTTCCATCTCGTACATGAAGTTCTGGATGCAAGTCTTGTCGAGAATGCAGTCGGAGTCGATGAAGAGGACGAACAGGTTGTCGTTGCGCTTGAGGTACTCGGAATAGATCTTGTCGATGAGCTTGAAAGTCCTCTTCTGGCAGTGACGCTTACCACCGTGGGGGAAGCGGGAGATGGTAATGCGGCAGCTACGGTAGATGACATCGATGGACTTGGGGTAGGTGTCGAGCGTGAGCGGGACACCGAGTTTCTCAATGGTGTTCAGGTAGAGCTCGTCCTCCTGGTCTCCGTCAAAGGAGAGGAAGATGTGCAGGCAGGAGGGTGGGTATTCGCAGTCGACCAGGGAGTCGCAAGTTCGGAGAAGAATCTCGGGAATCTCCTTGTAGCAGGGCATGATGATGACGACCTTGGGGGCGGATGCCTCGTCGAGGACGGATTTGATCCTGCGGCTGCGACCAACAGAGTGGGTGACGAGCTGGTAGACACAGAACAACCACGGGACAGTCAAGAGACCGGCAAACGACCAGAAGGCGAACCACTGGAGGAAGCCAACCATCTCCTGGGGGAAGTACTTGGTAACTTGCGAGGGGAGGGGGAGGGTAACGACCATGATAGGCAGGAAGATGGCACTGTTTCTGTCAGACTTGATTCGCATGGTGGAGCGGAGTTCAAATGCTTACCGGAGAGCGAAGAAGAGGATACCGAAGAAGATGGACAAAATGCGGACACTGATCGTCTCGGCCTTCTGGAAGACCTTGACAATGCAGTACAGGAAAGCAGCGACCCAGAGGAACCACTCAAGCAGGGCAGCCAACATGAGACCACCGATGATGGCAACGTAGGCAATCTACTGCAGTCAGTTTCTGTAGCCACAGTCGGCAATGGCTGTACTCACATCCTTAGCTGGCCAAGGGTCGTCAATGTCTGGGGTAGAATGGTCGATTTCGCGGGCAAAGACCGCGCGGGCGGCGAGGCCCATCATGTCTTGCCAAACCATGGCGGAGTATTAAGTATGTATATTCGTTGTTGT